AGTCCGAGGAGTCATTACAAGCGCCATCTGCGTCAAACGAACCCGAGTCTCGCCCGACCCCGTCCAAATCCTCTGCCAAACCGCCCATAATCACTGATGTATCAGAGGCACAGGCGACCTTTCGCCAGGCATTTCCCAGCATCTATGGCGCTCGAACCCCGTCGAATCGCTCGTCCTCGAGTTCGCTACAAGCCCTCAACGAAAACACGGTCGTCGATGTCCGATCGGAAAATGGAAGCATTGGACGCAGCCCCCGCCGGGCGTCTCGACAATCCGATCACGAATTACCGGTATACCCCGATCAATCGTATGCCTCGCTTCAGTCTCAGATACACCCGAACTGGCGAGCACCCCACCTCTTCCAACCCGATCCGCTGCCACGGCATTCCTACGCCCGTGGCGTGCGTACCGCTGGCAATACTCCGATTTCGAGCCCCGGGCTGTTCTCTATGAGACATCCTCATTTAAAATCACCCTCGGGCTCTGACAATGAGAGTTTGGGTAGCACATACCTCCACCCAACACATCTTAATCCGCCCAAAGAAACCCACACCGCTGAAGTGGATCGCGATATTATCACTGGAAATAAAACCATTAATCAATACGAGATCCTCGAGGAGCTGGGACGAGGTGAACATGGCAAAGTGAAACTCGGCCAGCACGTCACGACCAAGCAGAAGGTCGCTATCAAGATTGTTCAGCGATACTCCACCCGACGTCGGTTAGGCAAACTTGGCAACCCGGAAGACAAAGTGAAAAAGGAGGTGGCTATTCTAAAGAAGGCGCGGCACCCGAACGTGGTCAGTTTGCTCGAGGTCATCGACGATCCGAATCGACAAAAAGTGTACATTGTGCTGGAGTATGTCGAAAACGGCGAGATCTTATGGCGCAAGAAGGGTCTGCGAGAGATTGTTCACGTCGACAAACTACGCCTCGAGCGGGAGAAGAATGGAATTCCTGACACTCCCGCGTTCCTGGAAGAGAGCCATCAATTCATCCGAACTGCGCAGCATCTACGAAGGCAACGTGAACGGGCCCGTGAGCGAGTTGAGGCACAGGCTGCCGATGCTCAGCAGGGGCCGATTCCTGCGTGGAGTTTGGAGCATGGTGCGGAGTCTTCGGACGAGGAGGAAGATGAAGCTGGTGGTTTGATGATCAAAAGGTCATCTAGTCGTCGTTCTGTCGCAGTAACGGATGACTCAAGTCCTTCTTCTGCCCAGGATGCATCTTTAAACGCAGTCGAGGGCAGCATGTATGGTGCCTACTCGGATTACCCATTCGAGCGCCGTTTCAGCACAGCCTCGAGTAGCTTTGGTTACGCTCCTTCTGAACCTGAATGGTCTGCCGAGGGCGATGACATGGCATTCGTCCCATGTCTGACCATCGCTGAAACTCGCAGTGCCTTCCGTGACTCGGTTCTTGGTTTGGAATATCTTCACTACCAGGGTATTATTCACCGTGATATCAAACCTGCCAACCTGCTTGTTACCAGTAATCATCGGGTGAAGATCTCCGATTTCGGTGTTTCATACCTGGGTCGTCCAATGCGTGATGAAGAAGAAGAGCATGTTGGCGAAACCGATGCCGCGGAACTGGATGATGCTCGTGAGCTCTCCAAGACAGTCGGCACACCTGCCTTCTACGCACCCGAGTTATGCTATACTGGTGATGACTTTGTCGAGACCATTGGGTCGATCCCCAAGATCACCGGCGCGATAGATGTTTGGTCTTTGGGTGTTACGTTATATGGAATGATCTTTGGCCGTCTACCGTTTGTCTCGGACGATGAGTACAGCATGTTCCAGACCATTGTGAAGAAGGAGGTGTTTATTCCACGGAAGCGCCTTGTGCCCGTGATAGACGACTCTTCTGACTCTAACCAATGGAACTTGAGGAACAGTGATGAGCTTGTTTATGAGGACATTGAGGATGAGCTCTACGATCTACTTAGACGCCTGTTGACCAAGGATCCCGTCAAGCGGATCACGATCAAGGAAATCAAGCACCACCCTTGGACCCTCCGCGGTCTTCCTAACCCTCGGATCTGGATTGAAGAAACTGACCCCGCCTTCCAAAGCAAGGGCAAACGTATCGAGGTTTCGAATGAGGAAGTCACCAGTGCCGTTAGCAAGGTTCCCTTCATTCAACGTGTTCGATCTAATGTCGCCAAATGGTTTGGCGGTCGATCAAAGGACAAGGAACCTCGCAAGCGCACATCGAGCACAACGCCCTCTACCGAGACTCTCTCCTCCGCCTCGAGTAACAGCACCTTCGGTAAAGGCTCTCGCGACAGTCGCCCGACCAGTCTGCGGGGAGACGAAGATTTCTTCCGGCCGCTCAAGTTGGGCACCCAAGGACATCCCCTTGCTCAGAGCGTTACTGCTAGCCCAGTGGATGAAGGTGATTGGGCGTCTTATTTCGATACCGTACAGACACCTGCGCTCAAGGCTGCCCCGCCTCCTGCTGTGACACCACGACCTGCCCCTCCTCGGCGCGCAAAGTCTTCTATGTCTACGGCGGAATCCACCAAGACCGTCAAGCCATCGAGTTTTGATATTCCCTTGACTGTTCGGCCACGGTCGGATGCGCGCTCTTCCATCATCGAAGCACTGGGGTCTACCAACTTCGGTAGTCTTTTCAGTGGCGCAGCCCGACGGGCATCACGCGGTAGTCGCAGTCGGCGCACATCCCCGTCTGGCGAGCCAGGATCTCATAACGAAGAGCAACGCTCTGAGCCTAGCATCGCTGTCAGCAATGCATCCGCACAAGGCCAAGTTCGAACAACCGGTTTGTGGCATGATGAAGAACATCCCGCCCCAGAGAAGCTGAATCCTGGATCTGCACACCAACGCAACCGGTCTCAGCAGCTTGCGGGCAAATCGTCCGCGGAATCATTCCATCTTACGAAGGAGGCACTCATGCGCCGTAGGAGAAGCGACATCGACGCAAATGAGGGTGGCACCCTAAGAGTCGATTACGCGATGTACTCTACCGAATCGCTCCTCCTACCTCCTATGGCGCCGCCTGCGGACTCTGGGTGTCCTGCAGATAATCCCAATAGCGGACTCACAAACTCCAACCCCCCTACGATATCTTCCTCTTCGGCCGATGACTTCACCAGCGGCATGTCGCAGAGTGCTTCTCACCCCAGCATCCCTTCCGTTTTGTCGAATGCCTCTTCGCTTTCAGGCGATGGGCTCTACTCAAGGGACAAGGATGTGGAAGAAGTTCCCTCCATACTCCGCACTGGTGAAACTGTCAAACCTCCTCGCTCCGGTTCGCTCCGGCCGTCTGAAGAAGACGAGTCGAGGTACTACTGCGATGACGAAGACGAAGATGAGTCGGAAGATGAAGGTCTCGTTATTGGGAAAATGAAGCCGGCACCGACACCGAAGCCTGTTGATCCTCCACAACCCTCAAACTGATACGATCCGCTACCTTCACTACCTCCTCCCATCTATCACCACTTCTATCTCTTTGGACTACTTTCTCCTCCCCACACAATTTCCCACCACTTCGACGCTTCCCTATACTACGAAGTCGTTGTATATCACCCATTCACGTTTGCTTCTGCTACTTTGATTTCTTTCGAGACCTCGCTGCCTGGAATTTGTGACGTCCTAGAAATCATTGGCATACATTCTACATTGTCTGTACATATACTCCCACGCCCGCACACATCTACCGTTGCTATAATGAGAGAGATGTCTTCGAACGCCACCCGGTGCCCTCCGACCGGCCGCGTCGCATATTCGTTCTGATTGATTGTTTAATGTTTGGACAAAACACGGACAGATGTGGCAGTCCATTTCCTCTTTCTTTTTCCTTTCTTCCTTCTTCCCTCTGGTTTTGTTCGCATGGGATAAAGGGTGCGAACCGCGTCCTTTGCCCAATCGTCTGGTTTCTTTTCCTTTCTTCCTCTTTTCACTTTATCTTGTATGTAATGTTGACCTGACAAAACGGGTGGAGGTCTGAGGGAATTTTTGAGTTCTGAGAGTCTGCGGATACCAGATTGATCAGATTAGACCAGACTGGTGTCATAAGCACTGTCTGCTGTCTTCTGTCCATGTCTGGTGTCTCTTTTCTCAAGGAATTCTGACATGATACATGATGCTGGGAGGCGTGGGCGTCTAGCGCGAAGCGAACGATGAAATGAACATTTGGGTGCCGTGGGACTTTGAGATAATTATCCCACCCCTATTTTTCAATAAAAAAAAAGTATTTCAATAAAAGTAAACAAGTAAAGTTCTCGGCCCGTTCCTAAAATGCTTCAACATAGCAGTACGATCCTATCTAAAACACTTTCACATCATATGGGCACCTCCACATCCAAGTCAATGTTCCAGATAGAGATGAAACCATCACATTCTCCGATGGAGTAAACCCACGAGGCTTATATGCCCCCTTCGTCCCACATCGCAATTTCAAACCTGAATATGGAGTGCATGTAAAATGTTGGTTCTACTTCCACCAATGATGCCACTAGACCAAGCAAGAAACTCGTCACTATTTACCGCCACCTCCGGCAAAACACCGAATATATCCCCTAGCCTTGAACTAGTGCCTGCACACTACCCCATACTTTGGAGGCCTATCCATGTCCATGAATCTAAATCGTCACGGGAATGCACTCCAACCGAGATTACTGAGACCAGTATATTCTCCACCAAGCTAAAATGCCCACGGTAACACACAACCTGGCTATGATGCATACATCCATGAATTCCCCGCCTATCGTCTCTGCCGTGCCTGTCTCAGGATGTGTTTCACGGCGGGAACTAGGCCGAGGTGGGATATCTCCCGGGGGGGTTTGAATGGCTTTGGTTGATCTGCACGGGTTATTGGAGATCTTGGTTAGACTGTTCGGAGAATTTGAATCTTTGGTGGAAACTGCCGAGTAGAGTTGAGCGTTGAGAGTTGTCTTAACTCTGCGTTCTCTCAATTCTTTTTTCTCTCTCTTCTTCTTTCTTGTAGTCGGGTTTGGATTTGGCCTTGTCAATATGCATATGCTTCCCTGTCTCCTTCTAGCTGCGACGCAGCTCTTTGCTCCGGCTTCGGCTGCGTTGAGTATCCACGGTGCGGATATCTCTTCTCTTCTTGTTGAAGAGGGTTCGGGAATCTCGTATAAGAATGCTGCTGGTACAACGGGTAAATTGGAGGCTATTGTCAAAGCTGCGGGTGTCAATTCCATTCGCCAGCGTGTCTGGGTTAATCCCAGTGATGGGTCGTACGATCTTGACTATAATGTCAAGTTGGCGAAGAGGGTGCAAGCACAGGGGATGACTACATATCTTGATTTGCATTATAGCGATACATGGGCTGACCCAAGTCATCAAGTACGTCCGTTCGCAAAAGTATTCACTTTCATGTTCAGCATAACTGACTTACTTTCTAGACTACCCCATCCGGCTGGTCAACAACCGACATCGACACCCTCGCCTGGCAAGTATACAACTACACCCTAGAAGTATGCAACACCTTCGCGGCCAACGACCTAGACGTAGCAATCGTCTCAATCGGCAACGAAATCCGCAGCGGCCTCCTCTGGCCCTTGGGCACCACAAGCAGCTACAGCAACATCGCGCGAATCCTACACTCAGGCGCCTGGGGCGTGAAAGACTCCGACCTCACCACCACACCCAAGATAATGATCCACCTGGATAACGGCTGGAGCTGGTCCGACCAATCCTACTTCTACAACAAAGTCCTCGCGTCCGGTTCTGCCCTGGCATCATCGGACTTTGACTACATCGGCGTCTCATACTACCCCTTCTACAGCGCGAGTGCCACACTCGCGTCGCTTAAGACTAGTCTGGCGAACTTGTACTCGACGTATGGGAAGCAAACTATTGTTGTTGAGACGAATTGGCCGTATGCTTGTCCCAGCCCGGCTTATTCGTTCCCGTCGGATCTGAAGGATATTCCGTTCTCCGTTGCTGGGCAGCAGACTTTCTTGCAGAGGCTTGCTGCTGTTGTTTCGGGGGTTTCGGGTGGACTGGGGATCTATTATTGGGAGCCTGCTTGGGTTGATAATGCTGGACTTGGGAGTAGTTGTTCGGATAATTTGTTGTTTGCTTGGTCTGGGGATCAGGCTAGGGCTAGTTTGGCTACGTTGGGTACTGTTTAGGGTTGGAATGGAGATTGGACGCCTTAGGGTTGTATTTGTCACTGTCTTATCCCTGGAATATAAGCTACGTGTCAATGGGTCTGTGGAGCATATGCGGTCATCTATACTTCGTAGCTGGAGGCAGCAAGGCAGACTGATACAGCTCCCAATGCGGTTAGCGCATATATGATTCAGCTGCGTGGCTGTGCAAAGCTAAGAATGCCTAGCGCTCAACAACCCCTCCACCTTGACTGAAGAGGATATTAAAGTGTGCTCTTCAGTTCTTCAGTGTGTCATGCCAGGAACAGGCAACCGTTTTACCTGTAGCATGGCATCTTGTCCCGGTAGGTAGACTTGTATAAAAATAGTAAAAATAGTGATCTGATCTGCTATCGGCACTAACACAATGTGGGGAGACCCATTTGGGGAACTTATAGAAGGAAACTCTGTGCTGCGCTTAGGGCACAGGGCAAGCATGATATAAAATAATCTCCTGTAACCAGCTCCATATATGTTGTAGACCGCGTATAGACGTGTCCACCAGACCGCCTTGCGCACGTGAAATCGTCGCCCAATCTTCAACTCCTCCTTCTCTCCCATTGTCAACTTTGATTAAAAGGTATCATTGTTCTCGGAATTCTGGATGTACTCTTCCACTGACACTGGCCAGTGGATCATTCGCGTACCGGCGCCTACCCAAACTGGACCCTTGCGAATGACATCCCACCTCATCAGCATCTATCCCTACATCGCCAACCGGTGTCTAGGTCCCTGACAAATCGACTTCTCTCAATATCCTTCGCCGAAATCCTGCGCTATCCGTGACTCCGACTCCGCTCCGCTCCTTGCCGTCTCCTGACCGCAACCCCCGCTTGGCGCTCACCACAGAGCCTCATCGGCGCGCATTCGCAATATGGCCTCGCATGACCAGAACCAAGGCTCGGCCCATGCCCAATCAGATATGAAGCATCGCAGTGTGAGCCCCTCGCCGCACCTCCAATATCACGATCCAAACTCCGGATTGGGCGTTGACCCCTCCATGACCGCCTATTCGGTCCCCTCCTTTCACAACCAGGACGGGAGCATGGGCGCTGAACAATATGGGTACCCAAGCTACCTCTCTGGGGCCTCTCCGGCACAGACATTATCCCCTCCGGCCGACCAGAGCTATCCTCCGGCTATCAATACAAACATGCCGATCTCGCAGTCGTTCGAGGCGAGCCTGGTCAATCAGCTCGAACACTCGTCGACAGGACTCAGACCGATGCAGGACGAGAACTTTTCCAACATGCTCAATACTAACCCGGCAGAAATGGACTTTTCTGTCTACCAGAACCATAGTCCTAACAGCACCACCGCATCGGAGTACGACTCTTCTTTGTTGCTGGATCCGCAAATGCATCAACGCCAGTCCGTGAACCAGGCCATCAACCCAGCCGATCTGGTCAGCCCCATCTCCAATCCCTCCGCCTCTTCGCACCCGTCATCGCAGGATCAGCAGCATTCATCGCCGGGCCCTTTGTCCCCTCCAGGATCCACCCCGGGCACATACTACACTCCTCAGCATTCACGGCACACCTCGCTAGACCCGGCCACTGCGGCCTACCTCAGCGCTCAATCGGGTCCAGACTGGGGGCATATTATGAACAATGCATCTTTCCAGGGTCATCGACGTGCGCCATCTGAGGTGTCCGAAGTGTCCTCGGCCAACCACTCCCCCTATGTGTCTCAGCATGAATTCGACGGTATTGAGAACAATGCGTCGCCCTCGTTGGCACCTCAGAATGACCCCGCTTTGTATGACAACGCTCTGGGCATTGAATCATTCACGCTCTCAGAGCAGCAACAACAAGGGATCAGCCCACTTCACAGCCCATATATCTCGCCGCGGTTAATGCCACAGCAGGGAGGGGAGATGGTGCCCAATAACTCTTATCTGGGACCTAACTCCCAGTTCCCCTCGGCGCCGACAGATATGTACGGTATGCCTTCAGACGACATGATGAACATGGGCCAATTGAACAATGTTCCGGGTGACATTGGCCAGGCTTCGCAGATGGCGCCTCCATCAATCAATGTCGAGTTCGCTCCGCCGTTGCGGAGTCCCAACTTTGATCCTTGCAAATCGACGGCGGATTATGACTCTTTGAGTCCACCTGCTATGCGTACGTGCCAGCTCCACTAGATAGCGATTTAATTTGCTGACCAAAACTAGGATCCCGCGTTCGTAGCAAATCTGATCCATACCACCCCGCAACTCGTCCACGCTCTCCTGCAACTTCAGCAACAAGCCTGGAGCCGCATGCCCCCAACACCCCTCGTTCCCTGTCGCCTGTTGCCTCAGTTGGCTCGCACTCGCGCAGCAGCCCCAGCTCGCGTGATGCATCACCCTCTCGGTCCAACCGTCGTCTGTCTACGTCATCAATTGAGAATCGAAACTACATCCTAGACCTGGCAGATCCACAACGGCCCGGCGCGGCACCTGGAGAGCCAAAACGGATCCAAAAGCACCCAGCCACCTTCCAGTGCAATCTATGCCCAAAACGATTCACCCGCGCCTATAACCTCCGCTCCCACCTCCGCACCCACACAGACGAAAGGCCATTCGTATGCACAGTCTGCGGCAAAGCTTTCGCAAGACAACACGACCGCAAGCGCCACGAGGGCCTCCACTCCGGCGAAAAGAAATTCGTCTGCCGAGGTGAGCTCTCGCGCAGCGGACAATGGGGCTGTGGCCGGCGGTTCGCTCGTGCAGATGCGCTTGGCCGACACTTCAGATCCGAAGCGGGTCGAGTTTGTATCAAGCCATTGCTTGACGAGGAATCACAAGAGCGGGACCGCGTTCTGCTGGAACACCAGCAGCAGGCTCAACAGCCATCTGGCCATTTGCAGCCTATCCCTCAGCCACTCGTTATGCCTAACATGCCTGGCATGGACGGGCAGTCTTCGGGTAATTTCGTGCTTCCTGCTGCACTCTTGGCTCAATATCCTGCTCTGCAGAATTTGCAGTGGGATCAGATCCCCGCTGCTGGAGATGAATCTGGGGATATTGGTGGGCGGAGTAGCTTTGACGCTAGCTCTGGGGGTGAGTTTGGGTTTGATGAGGATGATTCGGGGATGAGTGGCGGTTACGGTAATAACCAGGGCAATATGTACGGGGTTAATAACTCTGGGCAAATGGTTGGTGAGCAGGGGTATGATCAGAAGTGGAGTGGATGACCTTCTTTCGAGCTACTCTCTCGCTCTCACACACACATTCTCTCTCTCTCTCTCTCTCTCTCTCTCTCTCTCTCCCCCTCTCTCTCTCAGTTTCTTCTTTGCTCCCTTTCCCCTTCTGCTTCTCTGTCTCGGAGCTCAAAACCGAATTTGCTCAAGATTCTTTCGTCTGCATCATCCTGGTATCTGTTGGTCTTTGTTTTCCTTTTCGAGTCACGCCTGTATAGAAGGCTTCTCTTTGGCGTTCATATACAGGATGGGAGGTATCCGAGGATTTCAGCCAAAACTGGCAAATCCGGGTATGGATATACTTGGTTCGGCTTTTGCTTTCTTTTGATCTTTCTATACATTGGTATATATCTATCATACCACTGTTCTCTCTTTCCTTTTTCGTTCACTTTGACGACATGTGCTTCCTTATTTATTCCCCCTCTGATTTTCTTCTCTTCTTTTGGTCTCTCGACTAACCTGTTTCTCGGGGTGGCTCCTGTTCAACCGCCTCGATGCTCTTATGAAAGAACCATTCATCGTGATGTGACGTTTTGATGACTTATTTTTACCCTGCTCATACCCGTCTGTTTGCTTTTCTTACTCTTTCCTCTTGGACCTCATCTCATATATCTATCTCATCTCATATCATCTTTCGTTTGATGTCACCGGCTGCTTTAAACCTATATGACATGGCATACAATGATCGATCAACCGAATGAATTTTACGGCCTGGATAATCACACTCGAATACGCCATTTCTTTTTGATCTACAGTCTCTATACGAAATAATAGAATACAGATCACATTGGATATCATCTAGGGCAAACAAAAAAAACCTAAAATCACCATATACAAGCCAACAGGCAAACAACTGCTGCTATAGAAAACAAACATCCAATCCACGCAGATCATCAACTCCAATCGAAGCCACTTTTAAATAGTGTAACAGTCTGAAGTTCTCTCTTTTCCTCCTTATATCATATGCTTCCCCCTAACATGCAAGACTCAAATACCTTACTGAGTATTAGCATTCTTAGCCAACAAGTTCAAAGCAGAACCAGCCAGAATGAAACCACTCTGATCCTTAGACAGAGTATGGTTAACAGGAATGACAAACTGCTCGCCAGTCTTCTGCTTGGTAACACGCAGCTGGACCTCGCCCTGGCCACCAGCCTGCAGCACATCATAAAGACCAACCGTGTCAACCTTATCACAAGCATCAATACGGTCATAGTCCTCACGGTTAGCGAAAGTAAGAGGCACAACACCCTGCTTCTTCAAGTTCGTCTCGTGGATACGGGCAAAGCTCTTAGAAACAATCACGCGGCCACCGAGGTAGCGGGGCTGCAAGGCAGCGTGTTCACGGGCCGAACCCTCGCCGTAGTTATCCTCCGCAACGACGAGCCACTCAATACCACGGTCCTTCCATTGCTCTGCGAGCTCGGGGATACCGTATTGCTTGCCGGCCTCGTCGTAGGCGACGTTCGTCTCGCCGGTTGCAGCGTTGACGGCGCCAATGAGGGTGTTGGCGGAGATGTTGGGCAGGTGACCCTTGTATTTGAGCCAGGGGCCTGCGGCGGAGATGGTGTCTGTTGTGCACTGGCCCTTGACCTTGTAGAGGACCTGCAGGCCGGTGAGATCACCCTTGGGGAAGGGGGCGAAGGGCTCGAGGAGGGCGAGGCGGTCGGAGGTTGGGGAGACGATGACCTCGACGCTGGCATCGGGGACTGCGGCTGTTGGGAGGAAGTTGGGGTTTCCTTCTTCGAAGCCGGCGCTGGGTAGGTCGAAACCGCTGGGCGGTTGGAACTTGAAGGCCTCGCCGGATGGGGTGGTCAGGGAGTCGGTCATTGGGTTGAAGGTTGTGCTGCCGGAGTAGGCGAGTGCCGTGACTAGTTCGGGCGAGGCGAGGAAGTTCATTGTCTGGCGGTTGCCGTCGTTGCGGCCGGGGAAGTTGCGGTTGTACGAGGTGAAGATTGCGTTGTCTTCGCCCTTGGGGACGCCGTCGGTGCGCTTCCATTGGCCGATACAGGGGCCACAGGCGTTGGCCAGGACAATACCGCCGGCTTCGGAGAAGGTGTTCAGGGTCTGGTCGCGGTCGAGGGTAGCGCGGATCTGTTCACTGCCGGGGGTGATGAAGAAGTCGGCCTTGGGCTTGAGGCCTGCGGCGGAGGCCTGCTTGACCAGGTTCTCGGCACGAGTCATGTCCTCGTAGGAGGAGTTGGTGCAGGAACCGATCAGACCGGCGCCAAAGGTCTCGGGCCACTTCTTCTCGCGGACCGTGTCGGCGAACTTGGAGAGGGGAACCGACAGGTCGGGGGTAAAGGGTCCGTTGATGTGCGGCTCGAGCTCGGAAAGGTTGATGGTGACCAGTTGGTCGTACTCGGCCTTGGTATCGGCACGGAGCAGACTCGAAGGGCCAGCAGCGGCAACCTCGGCGGCGGCCTCTGCGACGTGGCCACGGTGGGTGGAATGCAGGTAGGGCACCATGCTGGGCGAGAAGGGGAAAATTGAGGTGGTAGCACCGACCTCGGCACCCATGTTACAGCAGGTAGCCATACCAGTGCAGCTCAGAGTCTCGACACCAGGGCCGTGATACTCAACAACAAAGCCAGTACCACCGCGGACGGTCAGCTTACCAGCCAGGTGCAGGATAATGTCCTTGGGAGAAGCCCAGCCGCTCAGCTGGCCCTCGAGGCGCACACCCAGAACTTTGGGGGCCTTGAGCTCCCAAGGAGCGTCAACCAGCGCATCGACGGCATCGGCACCGCCGACACCAATGGCAATGGCACCCAGACCACCTGCGTTAGGAGTGTGGCTGTCAGTGCCGAGCATCATCAATCCAGGGGCGGCGTAGTTCTCTAGAACGCTCTGGTGGATGATACCGGCACCGGGAGGCCAGAACTCGATACCGTAACGCTTAGCCGCACTCTCCAGGAAGTCGAACACCTCGCTGTTACCCTGGATCGAAGCCGGTAGATCGGTATCGGCACCGCGCTCACCAACAATCATGTGGTCGCAGTGAATACTGGCCGGGACGGCGGTGGAGGGCAGACCGCAGGACATGAATTGCAGAAGAGCCATCTGCGCCGAAGCATCCTGCATGGCCACGCGATCGGGCTTCAGCTTCAGGTTAGCCTTACCCCGGACATCGCGGCCGTTGTTGGTGCCAGTGAGCAATGACTCCTCGGCATTGTCCAAGTGGGCGTAGAGGATCTTCTCGGCGAGTGTGAGAGCGCGCTCGGAGCCAAGGACTCGGCGGACCTGTTCGAGGTTGCGGACGAGCTTGGGATATGGGGGCATGCGGGAGGAGGAGGCCTCGGTGGCTAGGCCACGGGCGAAGAGCCGTTGCGGGGACAGCCGTGTGGCTAGCTATGGGGGATTAGTCAATTGAGACATTTTGAGGATCAATTTCAACTTACCCCACGAGAGGCAGAAGCCCGCTGCCAAACAAGCTGGCTCACCATGATTCAAGTTGGGGGTGGGTGAAACTGGAGAAGAAGTGATGTTCCCTTTTTTCTCCGGTTTGTTCTGGTTATTTTGCCCGTCTCCTGATTGGCCCGTGATTGCGCCGATTTCGGACCAATCCAGATCTATATCCAACGTTGAACAGGGACATCAACATACTATGCCTCTTATAGCTCGGGGCTGAACTTTCAAATGTCGGGAATTACGCAGAAATGACGCCTCGACTACATACCAAAAGTCTTTTGTGACCTGACTCAACTTCTGTCGCATCTTTTTCTCAACTAGTCAAAGCCATGGGGAACAACAAATCAAAATCCCACGCTTATATGCCTCTCAATCCGAGCCCACCCATCGAGGAAAGCACGTTTGTCGAGGAACAGCCAACAGTACAGTCTTCTGCAGTTTCACAGCCAGCAACTCCAGACGCACCAGGGGCCCAACTGAGCACGATGGATGCCTCTGGAAACCCGCCGAGATATGAGGAGACGACTAAGGCTCCCCACAAGACGAACAAGGCGAAGGATGTGGAAAATTTTGTCAAATCACTTGAAACCGCTCAACATACAAAGGATCTGCTAGAACCACTTCTTTCGAGCGCACTCAGCCTTGACGAGAAATGGAAAATCATGGATACGGGAATGAGATATCCTTCCATTCCCAGGGATTTAGTGCAGGCATAGGAAAACTCGAAGCTAAAAACCATGAAGGACTTGCTCAGTTGTATCCTACATATCCTACTCCTACTATCTAAACGCAGCCTCGCGGGACAGGGACTGGTTCAGAGAACTTATCAAGGAAGATATCAGGATGAGATGGACTGTCCAACAAATTGCTTGGATGCATTCAGAGTTTCCAGGCAATCTGCCATGGTCCAGGCTTACTCCACTTCATAGGACATACTGGGAATCTCGTCGAAGGCGTTGGGCTCTCGAGGACGGTATACATAGCGTATCGGCGGCTCGTGGATTTGCGAGACAAAGAAAACACCCGGACTGGTATCTGTCTGAAGAGTTACGAGAATATTGTGCAGGGCGAGGAGGCTGTTGTGGACGGAGTTGCGGATGCTGTGAAAAACCACGACTGGTCCACGGATTCAACCCTGATCAGATTTGGATCCCTAATCAGATTCATGGCAAGGGTCACTGTACCTCAGCGTGCCATTGCTGTCTAAAGGCCTACTGCATCCAAGGTAATAGCATTTCGGGCGAGACTTTCTATAACGAGAAGATCCAAGACTTGGACGAGGTTCGCTTTGTGTCTGTGGGATCCTGGGGAATGGATCACCATAGTAAGCGATTGATCAAGGGCTACCTGTTTCGTTGGCCTGGGATGGAGTGATTGGCGAACGGAGTATTTTGCTTGTGCTGGAATCATTGCTTTGCCCGTACGCTAAGTGTTGCTTGTCGTGTCTACCACTTATAGCTTGTTCTTTCGACCCTGAAAGATATGAATCAAAATTCAGGTAAAGCATCATTAACAGGGTCCATTAAGCTCGAAGTAGAAACACAAGGATACAAAGTATCCCAATCCCCAAGACAATGCCAATGCCATAATCGGCCCAAACAGCCACCATCTCAAACGCCTATGGTAACATAAACAAGAAGAGAAGACATGCGACTCTGATCGTACAATCAAAGACCACTGTATGCCAAGGGAATCCATGACCAACCGTTCAACCGTTCATGAAATACTGGAAACAAAGTAAAACAGATGGATAGAAAGAGAAAGGCGTAAATCAGCCAAAGGGCTTGCTAGATCTAGGAGTGTTCTTCCTCGGCGACCACCGCGGCGCGGAGTTCCCAGACTAAATCGTAACACTCGGCGAGCAGGTTGTTCACACTGCCTTGGCCTTCTGGGATATCGGGTCCCACATAAAATTTACCGTCAACGCGCATGTTGTCAATTGAGTTGAGCTGTTCTAGTTAGCAGATGTAGAAGAAGACCATAGGTGGACAAGTACCTTCATGCTGTATGGATATAATTCGCGGGAATTAGCGACACCACCAGACTCCTTGACCTCAATTAAGCACCGACGAAGAGTCTGAAGTTGGTTGTAGACTGGAAGAAGAGCTTCAGATACGGGCTCTGATGAAATGAGAAGCGCATAAATGTATGCATAGCTGCGACGAATGAGGTACAACAATGTCTAATATCAGTTAGCCAGGTTGATACAAAGGATAGCTAAAGCATGAATTTTCCTACCCGCTGCGCATGAAGGTCGGCAGGCTGGCCCTCAGCATCGACAAAGTTTCCATTAACCCGTGCCTCATCAATTCGGTCGAGTTTGCGCTGGTATCCGAACAGATCTGTCTCGCGTAATGACCAAGCCTGGGTCACGGACAGACGATCCAGTTGGTTACGGATCTCCAGCAATCGCTCGTATTGCTCTCGGAAACGCTCATCGATTTTCCCCTCTCTACTTCGAGTCAGCGGCTGTCCTTTGATCCTGATAACATCTCCAACATACCGCTCCAAGACGATTTCGGTCCACCGCCAACAGCGACGCATCAAAGACTTGAGATCGTCTTGTCCGGGAAGAATATTTCCTTCGGCATCCACAAAGTTGCCATCTTTTGTTCCCTTTTCGATCTTCTTCAGCTGTTCGCGAAGATTGTTCACTTCGGAGGCTGAGAACTGTAAACAATCAAAATATCAGTAAATATCGATTTAGATAATAAAGTCCTCGAGAACAAACCTTCGATCTAGTGTTAACAGCGGATGTTGACCGCAAAATTGAGACCAAGGTCTCGTGTGTCTGTGCCAAGGGAGGAGCCAGAACGGCAAGGCCTTTCTGCAACTTCTCTAGAGAAGCTTCACATTGTTCCAGACGGCTCTCCAAAAGCGTGAGGAGAGCTGGAGAATAGGTATCGCGGCCACGTTCGAGAGTTTCCCGTGTAGACTCCAGGGTCTTGGTGATCGAGTTCAAGTCTTTCGAGCTGTAGAATCCAGCCTCATTGAGGTGGTCAAGCAAACGCTGCAACAAGTCAGTATCAAGATCGCAGACATCATCAAAACCTGTGAAAAGCTTATGATTACATACCTGGATAGTAGTCGCCAAAGAGTAGCTAGCCAGGTGTCAGTCATTTGAATATGGCGGGGTAGAAGGCGCTAGATCTTACACTGCAGGAGCTTCATTGTTCCGCCCAACTGTCAAAAACAGGAGCGAGATCAACTGGAAACAATCATCCAAGACATAGTCCACTATCACCACATGTCAGCTACCCTCCAAAGCGAGTGCGCGTATACCAAGACTCACGACGGTTGTGTACCAAGCGGCGCTCTGGTTCTTTGCGGGCAGCATTGAGCTTCTCAACCTCCGCAATGACCTCCTCATAAAGCGGCAATACATCACGAGACTTGATGTAAGAGGACTTGTCCTGCTTGATGAGGAGAAGCGCATCCCGGGTTCGGAGCAGGCGTTCGAGGATGGGCTGTTCCCGCGGATCCAGCGGGACCGGGATAGCGGGGGACTCCATGGAGATAAACTTGGGTAGGAAGGTTCGGAATAGCAGTGGAAGCACGGAGGTAGACCGACGAGCAATATAGCTTTGAAATGAAGACAAATGAGAAGAATAGTACGTTCGAACCCCACCGGGATGTGATGTCAATTGATGAACGGACTGATAGCGGATACCGAGCGGAGATACGTGATTATGTCAGCATTGCTGTTTGCGGTTTAGCGCCAAGTCACGAGTGTAGACGTCCCCGCGGCTGTCAGGTGATCACAGGGCGGAGGTCACATGACCTGGTTTTGCTATGTGTGGATACATGTAATGTGAGTACAGCAGTTCGAGGCGCTCGAAAATGGACAATGAAGGGGTAAAAAAGATGAGGCCAAAGTAGGACAAAAACAATAAATGAAACGGTATACTCGCTTCGAAGCTTGTGGAGAGACTATCCAATACGTCATCAGTGGCATTGTATACACACTTACTGTTTGTAACTAAAAGAATCCGAAAGAGACTTACAGCTAGTAATTTAAGCAACCAATAAGAAGAGTCAATGTCATGTGACAGTGCTCAGAGGTCACCTGACAGTCCTACCTCTGCCAAATTACGAGGAGGGGAAGGGGCTAGTCCCGATTAGTCCAAGCCCTAAGCGAGGGCTTTTTCCCACACACGGCGCGTTTGCCCTGTTCGGGTGTCTATCATTGGCGTTCTCCTCTCTTCTTCTTTCTCATCCCCAACTCTCTTCAAGACACCCAGTCCGGTCAACACCACCCGTCGACAAAATGTCTACCGCCGAGCTCGCCTGCTCTTACGCCGCCCTCATCCTGGCCGATGACGGTATTGAGGTCTCCGTACGTATCCAAAATTCCTTGAGATCGTTGGAACATTCAAGGGTTCAAGATTACATATGAAACTCGATTTCGTGTGTGAAAATGAACCATGGAGGAACACAAAAAGCTGCAGCAAAGCTATATCTGGGTCAACACTACAGCAACAATAACTGACCTCGAATCTTTAACCAGGCCGACAAGATCCAGACCCTCATTGGTGCCGCCAAGGTTCCCGAGGTTGAGCCCATCTGGGCTCAGATCTTCGCCAAGGTAAATACCTGAACCTATACCATATTCCGCGCCAATATCGCAACAACCGATGGCCACGTGCGGCAATTTGAGATGCGGTGACTTACGCGATTTGCATTCTATAGGCTCTCGAGGGCAAGGACATTAAGGAGCTCCTGACCAACGTCGGCTCCGCTGGCCCCGCCGCCGCCGCCCCCGCCGCTGCCGGTGGTGCTGCCCCCGCTGCTGAGGAGAAGAAGGAGGAGAAGGAAGAGGGTAAGCATTCACAATGCAACCCACACTCAAAGTCAGGAATGCTAATCCCATTACAGACAAGGAGGAGTCCGATGAGGACATGGGCTTCGGTCTCTTCGACTAAGCGTATCACATCCGTATCGAATTTGAACTCGTTTCCTTTTTTCTCTATCCCACGCCTCTTTTCCCGCTGCCGCTTCGCGGCTCCCTCGACGATTCTCTCTTGTACTCGATACTCCACGACCCCCGCTACGAAGACCTAGAACCCGGGGAAGAAAAAAGAAAATTAGCAAAAGAATTCAAACGGACAAGGACATTCAATGGAGACTGGGTGCTCGGTGTGCCTCCGTGTCATAATGTGGCCGAGGTAGACTCGATCGGATGCCGCTGCGACTCCGAAACTATTGTTGCTTCCAGGATTATAGGGGAATTGAAGAAAGACGTTTGGCACACTTTCGGATTTGTCCATGACCAACTCGTATGATTTGGTATGGGTAGATGTATGCGTTTTCTCGTGCTCCACGGACCTGCTAGCTTAGTTCTGCTCGGCTCTCATGCTATGTCTGTATGCGACCATGAACCAACGAATGCCGTCTGATTCTTATATGGAGTGCTTGTGTAGTGTAGACTTTTGGCGTAAGGCTGTGGTGATCGTCGATGTGGAGCTTGTGCACTGATACTCGGGGCTGTAAATCACGGACCCTCAAGCACGGCTCTCGTGTCCTCAGTCAGCTATACGGCCTTTGTAACTTTGTGGCTGTTTGCCTTCGCCTTTCGTTTAGTTAACTTGGGCTGTGAAGTACAGCTGTCGGCCCTTGGCCGTGTTTTTACATTTCCAAGGCACTTAAGATGTCCGGCAGGTCTTTGATTTGATAGAGGACTATTTTCTTTCACACAGAATATACATACTCTTTACGCACAACAGTTGTTTACAGTAAAAAAGGCCATCTACGGCCATCTCGGTCTAACACCATTGAATCCAGGTAAATAATTCACATCCAAAGCTGAATGGCACAAAATTCGATTTCGCATTCGACAGTATATGATCAGACAGCGTCGCTATGGTTGAAAGAAAAGATCCAACATACAAAAGTCCAGAACTATGAAACCGCCGACTGACGCGGGTCCTGGGGTGCGTAGATACGGAATTGAATGAAGATGACCACATCTTCGACCATTGTTCCCAAGGAACCAATCAGCCATGGGAGGTTTGTGAGGAAGTATTCCTTCTCTGTAGAATGGAAGAGGATCTATATCCATTGTTAGCGACTGTCTTTCCGGGTGTGGGACGAAATTAGGTAAGACTTACGCCTGCACCATATGTCAAGTTGCCCAGGAGAGAGAGAATGAAGAATAAAAGTGATAGACCTGAAAGAAATGTTAATATCTGTCCCAGATAGTTCAAGGAACGAATGAAATACCTTCACAAGACTTTTCGCTGTGGTTTTTGTAGATCTGAGGCAGTCTCGCTCTGCAAAGAAGAAAGTTAATAACAATCTCTCATTCTCCAATCACAAAATTAAACTCACCCCAGATAACAGACAGCGCTGAAATAACCTAGCACCAAGCCACTAGTAGCCTCATCAGGACCATTGTGATTCTCCTGCGGCGCCGGCGCCCACATGCCTGTTTGCCAGGCCATAGTCCAACCGGCCATACCGACAATGAAAATACCAATAACGCTGGCAAAGTTCTTAATCCACGCCTTACGGCCATAGTCATTCTCCTCAACTATTTTGGCCAAGGTATCTTCAACCTGGCTCTCGCGCCGGCCAATAGCCTGACGACCACGCAGCGATCCAGAAGAACGACGCCGCGACTCATTAGGTCCAAGTGAATCACTGAAGCGCCGTCCCAAGAGCGGGGTAGTAGGGTCCGGGGTCTCGGTGGACGAGCGTCGGCGGTGGACAATTCCGCTGCGGGAGTTGCGCGCCTTGTAGTACAGACATTGGGCGATGAGGACACCGTCTGCGATGCAGAAGTAGACTGCGATAGCGACGATCACGGGGACGAGGCCTGCTAGGAGACCGCCGGCGAGGTTTGCGACGTCACCGACGAACCAGACGAAGACGAAGAGGAGAGAGATGGCTTCGGCGTTGCCATTGCGGTAGTTTTCAATTAGCTGGGGGACCTGGATTCACTTTGTTAGGTATTGGTTCGTCGCTGTATGGATCTCAGGTGCGAGTCTGCTTTATCGCGTGCTCCGCGCGGATCGCACATACCAAGAGGAAAATCCAGCATGTCATGGATACTGATCCCAATAGACCGGATGCAGCTTCACGGGCTGTCAGGGGTATAGACTCGTGTCCCATGGTGAGTACTGTCATTTTGTGTGACTCGGGGTGTTGGAGGAGAGAGAACTCTGCGCGGGAGAGATAAGAGAACTATGACACAATCTGGGCCACTCCCGGGGTAGTCCCAGCACTGCACATGTAGGGGGGGATAGCTGTGAAGTCTGAAGGTCGCAAATAGCTCCAAGACTATAAATGATCGATATTTAAATGATACTTCATTTCATGCAAAGTAACTTAACTCGAAAAAAAAAAAAAACCTTGCAAGAATTTGAAACGATGCCAGCTGAGTCAGCCTGTCAGTGCGGGATGATGCGCATAAACCATGAGAAACTCGGGGGTCTCTACCAATGAGATACTCGTCAATAGCATCATGCAGGCTGTGCTACAATCCCACGTGAGGTGCTTGATTTGAACAATATTGTATAGTGTCTGCATTCTGCGAATGCTGGTATTGCTCTGTCAACTTTCAAAATATATATATTTAGTTGTCTATTCGTGTAAGCCCGTAATGCCCGAAGCTTGCTGTTGTGCTCCTAGGGCTAGATATATATGTTTTATGAAGAGCAGCCTCGAGGCTCGTTCTCCATTACCAGTGTCAAGAAAATCACCAATACATATCTAGTTGCCCAAAAGCAGCTCAAGACAAGAATTGATAGTAGTTATAGAGTTGATACACTGCTATCGGTATTGTTTTCTAATGTACCTGGCTTATAATATATGATTTCATGAATCAGAATCCCCATCTAGCATCATTGCGATCTCATCTTCGAGCATACTGACAACGAAATCACCAAGAGAATCCTTGATAATACCATTCAACAACTGCTGGCGAGCTGTCGTTGAGATCATCACCATTGCCTCTAGGTAGTTGGTCAACGGTGCATAGTCCACCACATTTTCGCTCCAGTTGCCACGGTCAACGCCATACTGGTTCAAGAAGATCCGGAGAGACTGGAAGCCCTCACGCGAGAGCCATAGCTCAAGAGCCGAGGGATCACCAAGCGGAGGGCGAGAGCGTGGCATATCAAGCTCTTCCTCCGGTTCATCATCGATGCCTTGGTTCGGGGGTAGTTCGTCTTCCGGTGGAAGACGTAGACCGGCGCCATTGATCTGACCCAGGAGGTCTTGTAACCAATTCTCGCCACCGCCAGTAGGAGCTGCGTAGACGGGAGTAGGCTCGGATTGCTGACGGTAGGCTTCAGAGTCATACGGCGGAAGAGGGTCGGAGGCTGACAGTCGACCGGCCACAAAGTGGTTTGGCAGGTGGGTCGTCACCTTGGGGAGATCAGACAGGACTACATGACGAGCAATGTCCAGGGTGATCTCTGGTGATTCGATGGGCTCATCTTTATCGGAGAGGGTGTCTGCCACTTCCATGATGAGAGAGACTGCCTCTGGTGTGTTCCAGAGATCCTTTGCACGGGCAATATAGAGTTCAGTGAAAAGCTCATGAGAACCTGTGGGAGGCATCTTGCCCCAGATTTGCTTGGGGATGTGTTGAAGATCAAGTTCTTGTGCCAGCCTGTTGAATATCCACGGGTAGCGGGACATGGCGAGAGATAGCTGCCGGCGACAGTCATGGGGCTTATTCAGCCGTAGGTACGCCATAACCAGCGAGCATTGAATGTTGGGGAGGTCGGCCCAGTCTCGACTGAAGCGTGTCTGCGTACATAGATCCACGAACTGTGCGTACTCTCTGCCTCTAAGAGCGAGGTGGTCAATGAGTAGCTTCATACAGTATGGATCACTGTCATCAAGACTGAGGAGCAACTTGGCCCATTCATAGGCGGTTCTCCACGTTCCCTTCATTCCAAGGTTGGAGATGTACCTCCAACCCACAAGCCAAAGCTCTCGGTTCTCGGCATGAATAAAGTCGAGTTTGGCTTCGCCTTCCTTGAGGCGGTTGGCAAAAGAAGAGTGCACTGACCGTCCGATATTAAAGAGTGCTCTTTCCATCAGATCGGCAGACACAGCGTGATCGCCTTGGTGTTTGGCAATCTCTGACACCTGGAGAAGCGTGGAAATGTGATAAGGGTTGTATTGGAGGTGTCCAATGAGTCTCTGAGGGTCCATTGACTCGACACAGAGCTCAAACTGCCTTTGTACATCCTGATAGGCGGTATTATGCACAAGTCGGTAGAGTGTTTCTCCTGAAGGAAGTTTCTCTACCGTCTCCATGCCGAGTCCTCCACTCGGAGCACGAGGCCATTCATCTTTGCCTTGCATGAGAACGTTCCGTCGCAATGTGACTCCACCTAGACTCTGACCTCTGCTGGCTGGACTGTATCTTCCTGTCAAGGCCTGGGCGAGATCGACCATCTCTCGATTGCGATCCCGGCGGCGCCCTGTTCCACTATCGGCTGGTGAATCGAAGTTTTCCAGAACAACATTTCCAAAGAGGCGGCGCATCTCATTTGTCGCATTCAGGAATTTGGGTTCGATACCGAGTAATTGATTGGTGGTCTTGGGGAAAGAGGCTCCGCGGACGTCTCTGGAGGCAGTTGATAGATCTGCACCAACTGACGATTGCCCACCTGTTGATAGTTCCTTGAGAGCTCGATCAATCTCATCCAGGTCTGCCTCTTCGGATTTGGGTGGAGTGTCGGCCGGTTCGGAGGATTTGGCTGCCTTCTTCTTCTTCTTTTTCTTGTTGGCCTTTTTGGGCTTCGTCGGGGCAGGCTCAGGCTTTGATTGTTCAACAGTCTCCTCTTCCTTTTGTTCTTCTTCCTCTCCCTCCTCATCTTCGTTCCCATCTTCGGCGTTCAACAGATCAAAAGCATTGAACTTGGGCTTCGCGGGGCGCGGGGCTTCATCTTCGCTTGACTCATCTTGATTCTCGGAATCCTGCTGCTGTTCCAGATCGCGAAGTTTTTGCAATTTCCGAATCGCGCGTGAAGACATTCTTGCGCACTGAGGCCAAGGCCTGTGGACGTTGGAAAGGAAAAATTCGCAGGTGAAAGCAAAGCGCAGCAAATCCGCGGGGAATGACGACACATCTTCATCGGGACTAGCGCAGTACATGGATAACCTCCACACGTGACACCATATCAAACACCCCAGCTCCTTGTGAAGCTTCCTCTACATACAGTTTTAGAGCTGTTATTCCTTGCAAAGGGCAAGGAGATTCTTCAGCCACTAAATTAACCACCAAATCAATGCGTCGGGCGACAGTTCAGGCCTGCCGTACTGCTCGGCGTGCACCGGTATGGAACGTATCCGTTAAGCGGCCGTCCCCATTGTCCTTCACTCACAACCAGCTGCGAGGTCTTCGGTCATACTCTGGCAGCAAGCGTTCATACTTCCCAGCAGCAATTCAGTCATCGATGCATCGCCGCAATCTCTCCCTTGCCGTTATCTCGACCGTCGTTGCCTCCGGGGCATGGTATGCGTATCAGGGTGACACCGTTAAGTCGGCAGCATCCCAGTTCCGAAGCTTTGCCTCGAGTGCCCTAAACTCCGCCTACGCGGAAGATCCAGCCGAACCTGCGCGTCGTGCGCTGCTGGTTAGCAACGACCAATTCTATACTGCTGCACTTTCCGGGGACCAGCCGCTTGCAAAGACCACTGACGATTCGGATCGCGGAGTCCTCGAGATGTTGACACCGGAGCAAGCAACCCAGAAGCTTCGCAAGAACGAGGAATCATACTTGGTCAATCGAGGCAAGGGCGTTGTTCGCTACGATATCGTTCAGGTTCCCAGCAACTCGCCCATTGAGGACGACCACGCGGAGAAGATCGTCGAGATTCCAGCTTCCGTGGCTGCAGTCAAGAATGGCGAGCCAAGCAGTGATTGGATGTTCTGGGCAGTATTTGATGGACACTCGTATGTTATATTCATGCTTTATTGGAACTCGCGAAACTTACTATGAACTAGGGGCTGGACAACGTCCGCTAAGCTGCGCAATGTTTTGATATCATATGTTGCCCGTGAATTAAATACTACATACAAGGCTGCTGCTGCAGACCCCTCGCTTCTGGTTCCCTCGTCCGAGGCTGTGGATGCTGCTATCAAGCAAGGCTTTGTCCGTCTCGACAATGACATTGTGAACGAGAGTGTCAAGGAAGTCTTCAAGGCCAAGTCACGACGAGTTGCCGCTGAGCTCCTTGCTCCTGCTCTCTCTGGCTCATGTGCCCTTCTCAGCTTCTACGACTCCCAGTCGAAGGACCTCAAGGTTGCTGTTGCAGGTGACTCGCGTGCAGTTCTAGGCCGTCGTGGACCTAGCGGCAAGTGGACTGCCACAGCTCTTTCCGAGGACCAGACCGGTGGAACACCATCGGAGATGAAGCGTATTCGTGAAGAGCACCCCGGCGAGCCATATGCCACTAAGAATGGCCGCATCCTCGGCCAGCTTGAACCTAGCCGTTCCTTCGGTGACGCTGCCTACAAGTGGACCAGGGAAATCCAAGATCAGATCAAGGGAAAGTTCTTCGGACGTACTCCTCACCCTCTGCTGAAGACACCCCCCTATGTTACCGCCGAGCCTATCATTACCACTACCAAGGTCGATCCCTCCAAGGGCGACTTCATCGTCATGGCAACTGATGGTCTATGGGAGATGCTGAGCAACGAAGAAGTTGTCGGTTTGGTTGGCCAGTGGATTGAGCAGCAACAATCTGCTGCTGTCAGCACTGGTACCAGCAAAACCTGGCTGCAGAGCTGGTTCGGATTTGACAGCCAGAAGCAACTGCCCGTGGAATCCACAGCTGATGCATCGGGTGAGGGCCAGCGCCGTCCTATCCGCCAACAGCAATACGATATCTCTGGCGCCGCTAGCCGTTTTGTTGTCGAGGACAAGAACGCAGCCACGCATCTTGTGCGTAACGCCATGGGCGGAAAGGATAATGACATGGTTTGTGCGTTGTTGACGCTACCCAGTCCCTACTCCCGCCGATACCGGTAAGCAATATTCTCTTCGTTCGGGTTTTCTTGAAACATTTGCTAATATCCCTTTTTAGTGACGATGTCACCGTCGAAGTCATCTTCTTCGGCCAGGGCCCTGATAAACGTACGGTTGAGGTCAACCAGGAGGCGACTGCTCCAGAAGAGCCTGCCAAGTCTAAGCTTTAGGCATTTCTTTGATCTTCTCTTTTTCGGGGCATTCTACTATGGATGGTGCGGTTTTTCAATATGCTTTGTGATCTACAGCAGCCCTAGGCTGTCTTTGGCGTGGTACCACTGAATTTACAACAGGCCGATAGATATCCGGAATTAAAATCACTTACTTTTTCTTAGAAGTGTGAAGGATAAACCGGTGCTATGTGCGTATGGTAATATTGTACATGAATGTAAGTAGAAGTATGAATGGGAAGATGGCATGTCAAGCGTTGTCCGTGTTGATTTACACTTTCAAAACAAATCGATGCATTATGTCCACAGGTATCTTGCGCTTTTGGAAAGAAATTCGTACGTATCCAGCCCGCGTTGGGCCAGCCAGTTCCGGGCTTGGACGCGCACATTGAGGCATTAGCTTTTGTTTAAGAGCCGGAGTAAAGGTCTTGAGCAGGTGATGCAAGGGTATGAGGCTTTGAAATGATACCACAGCACACAGCGTGGAGGTTCACCAAAGTTTGGCAACACCACCGTCTTGGTGAGCCGAGAGTAGCCTTCGAGCAGTGCTCGAGCTACCATCGACACTGGCGTAGAGGAGACCGCATGTTCCTCAAGAAGACCGCCGCCGAAAGAATCAGCGCAAGTTCTTCAACTGGAAAGGATCCTCTACATCCTTCTTCTCGAACGCGATGTACTTCTTCTCAAATGTTTTGAGGTTCCTCTCATTGAAGACCCTCTTCTCCAAATACCAAGATTGCAACGTAGCAGTATTCGTACTCGTAATCCAGTAGAGCATAAGAGCAACAGGCATCTGGGAGAAAAAGCTCGCAGCACCAACATAAACAGCCATAACCTGAATAAAGTACCGCAGACCAATGAAAGAAGTCTCCCTGTACATCTGCAAACTGGGCAGGTCAGACACAGACTGAAAGGACTTCTTCTTCCAATTAGCTGTGACATTGTGCAGAATAGAAGCTGTCAGGATGACCGGCAGTATACCCGTCGAATCACCAGCCAACAAATCCGGGAACCAAAGCGCGCCCTCGGCTGCGAGACTGGGTTCGATGGTAAGATGCAGAGACTCGGATGCTTGGGCAGGATCCATGGATCCCTCCCAGCGTGATAGAATCCAGAGAAGAATACCATTGTTATTACCACACATGCCGCGTAGACTCTCCATCAGCGTTAAGAAGACGGGGAGCTGTAGGATCGTGACGGGTCGGTAGGTTGCGCTGATTCCCCAGCGTCGGTGGAGCTCCTTGGTCCGTTTTTTCATATGGGCTTCGAAAGCTTGTTTAGCCTCCATGACATTGGGCATCATGCGTGTCTTCTCTTGAATATGGACGGCCCATGATTGTAGAAGTGGTTGTAGGCGCTTTTCTCGGGATGCATGGAACTTTGTGAATATTTGGAGGGGAAATGCAATGAATGTACGGACGATCACGGCTGTGAGGGGAATTGAGAGGACCCATGGCAGGAAGGTTACGGTGTGAACACCGTGAATGAATGCGCTGGAGGTGTCTAGAGCAAGATTGATCACGGAGAAAGAGGCTGGTTTGGTTGGGTGGAAGTGTCGAATCTGTGGGCGAGGCAATCGAACGGCTCGTCGGACCGAGTGCAGAGACGAGGCTGAACGAAGGGTAAACATAGTGGGCTGAGCAACCAATACAAAGAATGTTGAAGCTTTTGGAGCAAAGTTGGAGATCAAACGTTTGTCATGTGACGCGTATGTAAGTTACGCCGCCCAACTGATCAACTTGTCGACAAGAGAGGGGGAAGCATTTCTGATCAGATTTCTAGCTTCTCAAAACTTTTACTATGTGTGATCTCTGGTGAGATCCTCTCGACTATCGCCTTTACATCATGGCCCTCATATCCAACGCCATTCTCGCTGTCCTGCTTCTCACCGCCACAGCCGTCCTGCTTCCGAAGCTAACGGGCGCTGTGCTCGGTCTGGTATTTCGGGGAGTAGGATGGCTGATCTGGAGGCGAACGCGATCTCGCCGCGAATACGTGATCGCGCGGGCGCGATCTGAAGAGCAGGAGTCCCGCGCCCCGCGGCCAAAAGTGTCAACAAACTCACTATCGCGGAACGGCGCCGATGACGAGGACTGGGAGAAGGTGGACAGCTTAGGCCCTGGCGGGGTACAGACTGCGACTAGCAGTGAGAGCAGTGGTAGTGCTGGAGGAAACAAGAACAGGAACTCGGATGACTGGGATGGGATTATTGGGTTCTTCCACCCATTCTGGTATGGCCACTCTCCACAACATGTAAATGCAAGTGCTGATTGAATAACAGTAATGCCGGCGGAGGTGGAGAACGAGTGCTTTGGGAAGCAGTTCGTGCAACACAGAAGCGCTGGCCAAAGGCCATTTGTGCCATCTATACAGGTGACCATGAAGTCAACAAGGCCACCATGCTAGAGAAGGTAGAGAACCGGTTCAACATTAAGCTTCATTCGCCGACAGTCGTGCTTCTGTACTTGACAACCCGCAAGTACGTTGTGAGCAGCTCATATCCATATATGACGCTGCTGGGACAGTCGCTCGGGTCACTAATTGTTGCCTACGATGCCTTCACACTCCTCGTACCAGATGTATTTATCGATACCATGGGCTATGCCTTTACCCTTGCGCTGTGCAAGTGGCTCTTCCCCACAGTGCCTGTTGGCGCATACGTCCACTACCCGACTATTTCAACCGATATGCTTGCCTCGCTCGACGACCAGAGCGGAGTGCAGGGTATTAACTCTGGCGCCGGAAAGGGTTGGAAGGGTAAGATCAAGCGCCGATACTGGCAGCTGTTCGCAAGACTGTATGGCTGGGTAGGCCAGCAGATCGACGTGGTCATGTGCAACTCGTCCTGGACAGCAGCACATATCCGCTCGCTCTGGGGAAGCGGCAACAAGGACACCGGCAGCGGCGAGGGGACAGCATCATCGCCGGCGGTGGTGTTCCCCCCGACTGCAGTGTCAGAACTGGAATCAACCATCGCCGTCGACGCAGAGAGCGAGAAAACCCGACAGCCCGTGCTACTCTACATCGCGCAATTCCGGCCGGAGAAGAACCACCCCCTGGTCCTGCGGTCCTTTGCACGTTTCCTACAAGAACGAGCCAACAACCCAGCCTGCGCGGGCCAACCCGAGCCACGCCTCGTACTGATCGGATCAGTCCGCCACGCTAGTCCAGACGAAACACACATCTATAACCTGCGGCTGCTAGCGCACGAACTCCGCATCCGCGACCAAACCACATTCCTATGCGACGCTCCATGGCCAGCTGTGCTGACCCATCTCGGCACCGCCTCCGTCGGCGTCAACGCCATGTGGAATGAGCATTTCGGCATCTGTGTCGTCGAGTACCAAGCCGCAGGTCTCATCTGCGTAACCCACGACTCGGGCGGTCCCCGCGAAGACATCGTCATTGACCTCGGCGATGGTGCTACGGGCTTCCGGGCTGAAACAGAGGAGCAGTTTGCTGCTTCCTTTGAGGCTGCTCTTGCTCTTCCGGAGGCGGAGAAGATTGCCATGCGCCAACGGGCTCGTCGTTCGGCGCGCCGGTTTACTGAGGAGGAATTCTCTCGTAAATGGCTGTATCAGGTGGAGAAGCTTGTTAGTATGCGGTAGTCTAGATATCCCGGCAATAGATGAATCGCATAGCTTAGCTTTGGAAATCCTCATTCTTTGTAGAGTCTATAAGATACCCCGATACATCATAACCCGTGGAAGCAATAAGCCAATGCTTTAATAAAAAACTGAACTTTATTCGTGATAATCGTAACATAGAACTGAATATGGCTAACTCTAAAGCTCAAGACACCATCCACCAGGAGAAGAGAGAAAATGCTCACATTAAGAGGACATCAGCCCCCGTATGCCTCTAATCACTATCACTGGGCTCCCCACCATCTGACCCAGCCCCATCGGTATTGTGCAGATCCTCGGCCATGATATACGCAGCCTGCTGCAGAGTCGCCTTAATCTCATTGTTGTTAAAGGCCAGATCAACAGGCTTCTGGCCATGCTTATTGGGCACGCGGGGATCACAGCCAGCGTCACACATCATTGTGACCATGTGAGCGCCTACCTCGGGGTCTTTTTCGATGGCGTAGCGTACTGCGATGTGCAGTGGTGTGTCTTCATCCAGGCGGGTTTTGGGGTCGCATTCGAAGTATTGGATGTCGAAAAGGTGGTCCATTGTCTCCCCTAAAGAGAAGGAGGTGTTAGTTCTGGTTGGCTTTTATCTGTTTGGTAGGCTATAGATATATAGGGTTGTAGGCACCAACGGTACCACTTGCATGTCGGACGAGGAGAACGTACAGCTGCCGTACTGGGCACAGATGTGCAATGCGTAATTGCCCATCGAGTCTGTGACCCCGTTGAAGAATTCTGCCACTTGCTCGTTTGTCTTGTCTTCCATGCCACCCAGGACTTGCTCAATCAGGTGGAATTGGTCACGGCGGCAGGCCTCCACGACCAGCTCGCGGGGTGATGCGCCCTACATCATAGCTGTTAGTGATATTATTCAGAATTTACTTGGATAGTAGTACTCACCTCGTCGTCGGCCATTCTGTCTATGATTCAGTCCGATATACCCGGGAGTAAATGCAAGCAGCTGGGGGCTCAGATGTAAGGGATGCGGGTCAAGCGTTCTGAATGGTTGGGTTGTGGGTGATCTGCAGATGTGCAGAATGGTATATGTACAAGCAGGGTAGTTGGATCAAAAAGTCACTCCTGGTGTATCATCTACAGGTCTCTCGGAGTTTGTTCCCCAGGGACAACATCCCACGCGCGGCCCGATCGGATCAAGAGATTTTCCGCACCCCGCTCTGAATTAGCCGCGCGCCTAGATCCGGCATTATCGACAGTGATGCTTTCGCGCTCGGGTCTACAGCTGTGAGCCTGGTTCCATTGACTCTGTGGCGAGTTATTGAGTGAGATCTTGCTACTACGCATTGCAGATTCTAGCTGTCACCGGCAAGATGTTGATCTGTACGTTTCCTCTCCCACGCCGAGCGCTATCCAGCGAGTCTGCAGAAACTGACATTTCTCTCCAGTCTGCCCCAACTGCAGCAATGCGCTGACCATCTCCCGTGCTGACTCAAGCAATGCCTTCCCGATGGGTGTCAACCGCTTTGAATGCCGATCCTGTCCCTTCGAAGCCCCGCTGGACAAACAATGGTTTGAGAAGACAGATATGAAGCAGAAGGAGGTGGATGATGTCTTTGGGGGCAAGGAGGAGTTTGCCAACGCTGACAGTGTTGCCAGTAAGTTATGAAGGGACCTTGGAGGACTTTTACCAGACCCAATAGGGACCAGGGCGAACCCAAGACGAACACCCAGGACAGAGGCTAACGGAAATCTTTTTTACAGCTCAATGCCCCGCAGAGAACTGCAACGGGGAACGTGCATACTTCTTCCAGCTGCAGATTCGCAGTGCAGATGAACCTATGACTACATTCTTGAAGGTATGTGTTCTCCTTGCTTGTGTGAGGTACCCGTTCTGACAGCTCAGTGTACATCGTGCGGTGCTCGGTGGAGAGAAAATTAGAGTTGGGCCTCAACACGGGACAGTGTGTTTTGCTTTACTTTTCTATTTTGTTCTTTTTTTATGCATTTATTTGGAGCAAATGGCGCATATGGACCAAGAAGATATTCAGATACCCAAATTGATCGACGTCACTATCTAATGCACAGATTGCGGGAACCCTTTTGGGATAGCTTTTTTTTAAGTTTTTTTCTGTGTTTTTTCTCAGCGATTTAGCTTACACATCACATCCATGGATTCCCAGTAGGAATTGCCCCTAGTTATTAGATAGTAGAGCCGGATATCAATTTCTATGAATCAACTGTGGCAAAAAAAAAAAGAAAAGATACAAAAGTCCCATCTGCATAACATGGCGGGACAGGTTGGCGGTGAAACACTGCCCCTCATCGCGGGGTCAAAGAAAAAAAAAAAGACCATATGGCAGGAAAAACCAGCCACGCAGGAAAAAAAAAGCGCAAAGTAAACAATGCAAACCATTAGATTCTCACCCAAATCTGCGTTGCTGCCCAGTAACTAAGGAGAGTGGATTGGGAGTTGAAAAATTCGCAGAGTGGAGCAGTGAACCAGGGAACGATAGAGAGGAAGTATAGGTACAACTGAGACAGTCTAAATGTAGTATGTAGAGAAAGTACCAGTACTTCCTAGAACAGCCCACTTTGCAGAATCTGCGTCCACGGCTGACTGTGGCAGCCAATCAGCATCCTCAACCACACAGGGCTTGAGCCCCGCTGACTCGCCTCTCTCGCTTGCCCCTCCATATAAGGATTTCCCCTCCCCCTCCCACACACTTTTTTTCTTTCCCCCGTCTGCTACAGTGAGTATTTCTTGCACCCCTACTGCTTTTCCATCCTTTCTCTTTCATCTCTCTAATCATCTCTGCTCAGTACCTCTACGCGTTCTGCCGTAGTCTCTGAGCAATCTCTACAGACTCTTTCTAGTATCTTCCAAAGAACTACAAAAGTTTCAACCGCCAAAATGGGTAAGGAAGAGCGTTCCCACATCAACATCGTCGTTATCGGCCACGTCGATTCCGGCAAGTCTACCACCACTGGTCACTTGATCTACAAGTGCGGTGGTATTGACCAGCGTACCATCGAGAAGTTCGAGAAGGTAATTCGTCCATCCCACACTGTCATCACATCCACGCTGACCCCCATCATAGGAAGCCGCCGAACTCGGTAAGGGTTCCTTCAAGTACGCTTGGGTTCTTGACAAGCTCAAGGCCGAGCGTGAGCGTGGTATCACCATCGATATTGCCCTCTGGAAGTTCCAGACCGCCAAGTATGAGGTCACCGTCATCGGTAAGAATCTTCCCCTACCCCTCTGTCCCTCTAGCCTACCAAGGTCGGACGGCTCGACTCATCCCAACATGATGCTAACCCACCTTCACAGATGCCCCCGGTCACCGTGACTTCATCAAGAACATGATCACTGGTACCTCCCAGGCTGATTGCGCCATTCTCATCATCGCCTCCGGCACTGGTGAGTTCGAGGCTGGTATCTCCAAGGATGGCCAGACCCGTGAGCACGCTCTGCTTGCCTTCACCCTCGGTGTTAAGCAGCTCATCGTTGCCCTCAACAAGATGGACACCTGCAAGTGGTCCGAGGAGCGTTACAACGAGATTGTCAAGGAGACCTCCAACTTCATCAAGAAGGTCGGCTACAACCCCAAGTCCGTTCCCTTCGTCCCCATCTCCGGCTTCAACGGCGACAACATGCTCGAGGCCTCCCCCAACTGCCCCTGGTACAAGGGTTGGGAGAAGGAGACCAAGTCCGGCAAGTCCTCCGGAAAGACCCTCCTCGAGGCTATTGACGCCATCGAAACCCCCGTCCGTCCCTCCAACAAGCCCCTCCGTCTGCCCCTCCAGGATGTGTACAAGATCTCCGGTATTGGCACAGTTCCCGTCGGCCGTGTCGAGACTGGTATCATTACCCCCGGCATGGTCGTCACCTTCGCTCCCGCCAACGTGACCACTGAAGTCAAGTCCGTCGAGATGCACCACCAGCAGCTCAAGGCCGGTAACCCCGGTGACAACGTCGGCTTCAACGTCAAGAACGTTTCCGTCAAGGAGGTTCGCCGTGGTAACGTCGCTTCCGACTCCAAGAACGACCCCGCCATGGCCGCTGAGTCCTTCAACGCCCAGGTCATCGTCCTGAACCACCCCGGTCAGGTCGGCGCTGGATACGCTCCCGTTCTGGACTGCCACACTGCCCACATTGCTTGCAAGTTCGCCGAGCTCCTCGAGAAGATTGACCGCCGTACCGGTAAGGCCACTGAGACCTCCCCCAAGTTCATCAAGTCCGGTGATGCCGCTATCGTCAAGATGATTCCCTCCAAGCCCATGTGTGTTGAGGCCTTCACCGACTACCCCCCTCTCGGTCGTTTCGCCGTCCGTGACATGCGTCAGACCGTTGCTGTCGGTGTCATCAAGTCCGTCGAGAAGACCGCTGGCGGTGCCGGCAAGGTCACCAAGGCCGCTGCCAAGGCTGGTAAGAAATAAATGATTCTCGGATGATTCAAGACATGCCGTGATGATTTTATTTTTTTCTCAAAAACATTTTTATGGATCGCTAGACGTCTTGTAGTTTAGCTAAATGACTACATACATTTTCGTCTCCAATTTTCCTCACGGTAGAATGTATTCACAGTAGATGGTAGATTCTCTTGTATTGTATTGATTTTGTACATGGAAGCCAAAGTCGAGTGTCTGGTGATACCTTTCGCTGATTTTGCTCGGGCAATTTGTGTGCGATGGCCCCGCGCCCCATTCAGCCACCTACACACCATCACGGCCTCCCTAAAATAATCAAAAAGCCCCTCTTTCATATACATCCAATCGAATCTGCATGTAACATTTATTTATCTATTCACTTCGGATAATCTATTTCTATCCTGCAATACATTTCTTACGGATCAGGAGGAGGGGTAACACGCCGGTCCCGATGTGACATGAGGTAGCAGTAAGGACGGCTACCACATTCGATGTAGAATTTTACTACAGTCTAGTCCAGATTTTTTGTTTGTAGTCTTGTTCTGGGCTACATATGGATGCTGGAGTTTTAAACTTGCTTTGTAGAATGGCATTTGGGCTTGCGAGATTATCGTACTTGTAGGTTTGATGATAACTTATGGTCGATCTACTTTGTTGGGGATACGGTAGGGTTGTGATATAGTACCCATTTGAACTAGTATGCTATACATTTTTGAGCCTATTACTCTCGGGAATTGTGCTAGCCTGGCTTCTGGGTTATTAATCGCTACTTACCTCTAGTACATGCTGCTTTATCAACTACTACAGATATATATCAGTGGACATTGTGTTGACAGTTTACTCACTCGAGACGACCAATCTGTGCATTATGAACCTATATTATACAGTATATTAAGACATTATCTATAGGAAAAAGCACACAGTATCCAAATACTAATTCCTTCCAAAAGCACCAACCCTCCTCCCAATCCCAACAACCATCTTCAAAACCTCCAACTCCCCGTCGGAGAACTCCGACACCTTCTTCGCCCTCAAGCAACAAACATTACTAGGATGAATCTCCCATGAAGAACCATCCTTACCATCACCCCGTTCCTCATGCACAAAAGCCTCAAACTTCCCAGGCAGCTCACTCCCAGCCTCAGCAAACTTATTCTGCAACAGCCACCCATTAAACCAGAGAGGTCTCCCAGAATGATCAAGATGAAGCAACTGCGGTGCACAGATAGTATACACCTTCGGTCGAGTATTCAAAACAGCCTGCTCATGCCGCGGTAACGGGACCTCAACAGACTCCAAAGGAACAGGAATAGAATCCTTGGAGTCACGCATGCGCGTAGGGCCATTACTCTGAACAGACCCCATAGTCCCAACACTACCATTATGGAACGCATAATCGATATCACCGACAAGCTCCCAGCCAAGCCAGAAAGTCTCCTTGTCACCTATACATATCAAACCAATCAGCAACAATCCAACCACCTTCAAACCCAAAGCAAAAAAAGAAAGACTCACCAAAAAGCATATCATAAACCCCCCTAACACCCCACCCATCCCCATCCCGATCAGGCCCATTCATCCGACAAACAAAATTAAGCGCCAGGAAATGCCTCCAAGTATCAATAACCAGAACACCCGATTCCTGCATATGCCCACTATCCCCACTCCAAAGCGTCGAAGCCCTAACCAACCCAGAAACCGGCTTGGGAAGAATACTCGCCAGCCACGCCCTCTTACTCTCAGGCATAATCAACCGATCCCGAAAGAACAGCGCACCAGTACGCTTATAATCCCCATCTTCAAACAACACACTCGGATCGACCAAGAAAACCGCATCAGCATCGATGAATATAACCTCCCGGAAGGAAGACAGTAACACCGCAAACGGTTTCCCCGCCCATCCTTTTAATTCCCACCCGGCGTCGGACACGAGGAGGCGTATATCGCGGGTTATCACACCGGGTAAGGCTTCGAGTCTTGCGCGTGCTTTTGGGGAGAGGTCTTCGTTGCCGAGGTACATTATTTCTATGGGCAGGGTGCAGCCTAGATTCCTCAGTGCTGGGATTGTTGTTAGGAGGAAGGGGAGTTGGTGCGTTCCTGCGCTGAAGACTAGACCGCGGCGTTGTTGGGAGTGCGGGGGGTGGTGCAGGGAGTGCCGGTGGTGCAGGTGGGATGGGTAGTAGGGGCTTGTCCAGGGGAAGAGGAGGGACTGGAGGCAGGTTAGGGTTGAATGGTAGGATTCGTAGGTGTGGAGGAGGGATGAGGGGGTTGTTTGGAGGGTTTGGGAGATTGATGGCCTTGTTAGGAGGATTTGCGGGAGGGCTGTGTTTATTGTTGGGTCTTGTTCTTTTGTTGTTGGCTTGCTCAATATGTGTAGGTCTTCCCAGGCTTCTAGGAGGGTTTTGTATTGGCGGGTTCGGAGGGCGTAATCGTGGAGTCTTTGTTCACCTGTTGTTTGGATGGGTGTGAGGAGGGCTTTTGTTTCTTCTTCGTCAGGGAGGAGGTAGATTATCCGGGATAGGTGTTTGATTAGGGTGAATTGGTTCTCTTGGTTGGGTTGGGGGTTTGTTTCTTGGTGGCGAGGTGTGTTTGAAGTGGCTGGTTGTTATATCTTGTTAGTTTTGTAGATCGTGATACTCACTCCCTTTCCTTGGGTGTTTCCTTGGGTGTTTCTTCGACTTACCATTCCAGCTCAGAACGGTCTTATAAAAAAACCATATAGAGAGGACAATCAAAATGAGCTGTGTACCAACAACCCTGTTGTAGTGCCGTTTGGGACGGCCTTGGTTCTCTTTTATCGTGAAGTGTCCCATGGTACCTATAATTCCTTGTAGAGCGAACAGCGAGAGCGATATTAGGGTAGTCCATATTATCTGGGCGTTTTTTCATTATAAAAAAAACTCTATCTTGACAACGCAACTCGATGATTCATGAAGTGGTTGGAATTGAGTTTGGCCTGAGGTTACATTCGAGCTTGTTAGGGTTAGTGGAGCATTGGCGTCCATAACGTTATATTAACGGAACACCAATTTTGAGATGTCTATCTGAACTGCTTCATTCTATTTGTATTTGTTCTTCTATCTTGAGTCAACCTGTCAGTATGTCTAAACTAACAACCCCCGAACCCCTTAGCTTACTCGCGACTCAAACCCTCTGTTGCACGGAAAAAGTTAGCATCTGTATCCAAGGTTCAAGTTGATAGCTGGACGACTGAAATAATTAAGGATGCTACTTCGCTTGGCTTGTCTATCACACAATAGAAGAGAAAATATTTATTCTTCAGGCTTTTATACACAAGCATCACCGAGTCCATTCCTAGGTCGAGGAGTAGGGTGACTGGCATTTCACCTGATGCAAATACATGAGGGGAATATGTATACTAGATAGAGTTCAAAGAATATGTGTTAAATGCTTGATTGACATGTATCTTGGGTATCTCGTTGCGGATAGAACTGTATCTATCCCATGTTATCACAGCGCAGCCAAGAAGAGCAGCAAGGGAGCAAGGGAAGGAATCAATCACTCTCTTCAGAAGAATCATCCTCGTCATCTTCATCCTCCTCTTCAGCCTGCCGAGTAGACCGTCTCCCTCCCCGCTCCTCAACCTGCCCATTTTCACGAACCTGAGATGCACCCTCCTCCCCATCCCCATGTCCACCCTCCCTCCTCACAATATGAGCCCCAAGCGTCCTCCCCAACCTCCCCTCAAAGTCCTCCCGTTCCATCCTCTCAATCCCTCCCTCATCCCCATCCCCACCACCCTCCTTCCCATAAACAGCCCTAACAAGCCCAGCGACAGATCCACTCCCAACCTCAACCTTACCCCGCGGCCCAACAATATACTCAATAACTTCTTCGCCGCCATCCATCTCACGAGTGCGGATCAAATACCCCTCCTTGCACAGCCTCTGCAGCAATTTCTCTGTCCGGTCAATCGGGGTACCGACATCCGCGTTCATACGCGCCAGATACCGGTCCAGTTTCTGTTCTGCCAATGTGCCCCCATTCAACGTTATCACAGCAATAATAAAACTGTATAGACCGGTGTAGGTACTCTCGGTCCAGGTTGAGGGTGCCTTCGGCGGGTGTAGGATTGCGGGTGTTCGATAGGCAGGTGGTAATGTGCTAGTGACGATCCAAGATTTATTGGTACTAGAAGGTTTTTCGGTTTTCTGAGCGGCTGTTTCAATAAACACAGTCAGTAAACGAATCGAGATCGGTTTGGAAGGTGATGACTGGAATCGGTAGGAAGGATTGCATTGTATTGTTAGATTCATTCAACTCACCCCGTCGCTGAGAAATAGTAACTTTCTCCTTAGCCGGCAACTCGGACATCTCCATCCCAAATCGATGTCTAAGCTCGTTCTGCGCCTGCTCGAAAACAAGCTTGAATTGGCGCGAGCCTTGCTCGCCTAGGACTTTCGCGCTGATATCTGTACGCCGGATGGGCAGGCGCGAGTATTCGCTGGCCATTGCTAGCCGCACGAGCTTTTTGACCATTGCGTCTGTGCTGGAGGGCGCGCTGGGTCCGCCATCTTCGCTGTCCGAGGCGGAGGGTGATGTGCTTTGTCTTTGGCGGCGGGCGGTTGGGAGACCCGCTGGGGAGTCGGGATTTGTCTGTGATTTTTTGGTTAGATTTAGAAATAGAGGGGTCGGAATGGATGATGTTGGGTGCTTACTCTTTTGCGTGGCATGGTTGTGGTGAAGGTGAGACGCGACGCGAGATCATTTTACCCTATCGGGAGGTGGTCTGTGCGCTTATCTTGGATGGTTTCAGGTGTTGTACGGCGTATAACCTTGCTTTTCTTTTCTTTCAGATATTTACTGCGCAGGTCAGGCAATGGTTCTCCAAGCAAATGTATTGACTGTTATAAACTTGAAATCTGGAAATCTGGAAATTCGAAATCGGAAACTGAAACAGAACACATAAAAGTAGAACGCATACAACGATAAGGTATTATTTTCTCTAACAATCAAAAGAAAACAAAAACGCTTCAAGGAAATAAAACCAAAAAATCTAAAATCAATGGCTGTTCTTCTCGTTGACAGCCTCTTTCACCTCTTCCTTCTTAGTCTGCAAGAACGTGCTAATCCAAGCCAACGACTCCTGCGACAGGACCAGACTGGTAGTAACAACGGCCTTGCCGGAAGCAAAGACACCATCACCACCACACTTCTTATACTCAGATCCATAGATATCAAAAACATGGTGCTTAACCTCTCCAGCGAGACGCACGGGAATCGAAGCTCCGTTGTAGATAGAGCCGCGCAGCTTCTGGGTATCCTCCTTGATAATGGGGAAGCGAGTATCAATCTCGGTCAGACCCTTGTCACCGAGCGAATCGGCACGGGCCAGGTAGGGAGCTACATAGCTGTATGGAGTGGAGAAGTAGGGCAGGACGGGCTTGGCCAGGCGGGTGTAGCCCTTGTCGGCGTACTGGATGGACTTGGCTCCGTAGGGGTTGCCCTTGTAGAGGGTGATGGAGTCCGAGATGATGGGGTAGGAGATGAGATGCTAGCGATATGGTGTGTTGGTGGGCTGACTTGATAAGGGAGATATGGAAGGTAGAGGGTATACTTACGTCGAGAAATTGGGAGTGGTGCTTCTCGCCGTTGATGGTGGGTTCACCCATGGTTTCTGCGTGTGGCATCAAGATGGTAGACAGAGAGAGATGAGGGAGGAAGAGAAAGAAGAAGAGAAGAGAGGGAAGAACTGGAAGAGATGGGAGTATAGTAGAGAATAGGATTTTCACATGTGATAGGCCTTAGCGCTGTGCGATATGCCTGGTCTCGTCGCCCACGCCAAGTCTGGGTTTTCCCTCTTTTTTTCCCTTTTACTTTTTTTGTTAGCTTAGCTTAGGTTAGTTTGTAGGTTCTAGTTCCATTTCATTAACCTCTCATATTCTATACTGTGTATTGCACCATTGGTTTGCAATTCCTATCAATTGTTTCACATGTGATAGCGGGTCCAACGTTAGACGCATTTGGTCCCACTTGACGGATGCGGCTGTGTCTATCTCTTGATATTGATATCAGGGTGATATCTATGTTCTATTATTCTCTCTGTACTACATGTTGGTTGTATTTCCAAGGGTCACTAGCAAAGGAAACCTTGTTTCTCGTGCTTATCTCTAACGATCGGGGTCAACCTACCCCATATTGAGTTTGGACTCTCCAAAGGCCTGGGCAGTCAAAACACCTACATTAGTGAGGTACCCACATCGGCCTGAGCGCCCTTCAAACCCCCTCCCACTTCCCTTCTTTTTCTCTTCCCCGAAAATACGTAAACCTTGGCCGGATTGGAGATTGTTCTTCCGACAGCCCGGGGACGTGCGACTGACGACCCGGTTGATTCGCAGATCCATCCGATCTTCGGCGCTTATTCCCGTAGCGGTCGCGTTCAATACTATTTATGTGTGCGTAAAAACATAATTTGCTAGGCATGTCTGAAATATCCATATCCTGTTGCGTTTCCAAGGTAGCATTGCCTTATAAGACAAGTTTGGCAATCGCAATGGCGATAGACAGAAAACGATAGGGATGTCCAGTGCAACCAGGGGAAATCAGGGATATCCAAGTTTCCCAACGGACGTGCAGAAGCACATGAAGAAGCACAAGCTCAATCGCTCTAGGGCGAGGTGTGACTCGGCATACTAGACTATGGCATATGGTGAAGCCGAAGGGAAATTAAAATCAAAACGGGATCCCGCCGGGCAATCCACTAGATTAAGCTACCATGCAGATCCTCCATCGTGGGTCTCTCTTGCTTCCACCCTGAGCCTGTGATTCTACACCTTCTCACCGTGGTTCTTGCATGGACCCTTTCCATCGTCTTTATTTGATCAATCTCACTCTAGCTCGACCAATGAACCTCACACCGTGGACCCGTTGTGATATGCAAAACGTCGTGCAGTGATCCCTCGACGTAGATGTGGCGAACTTGTATGCTGGATCACTTCTGTATTCGAACCCGGGTACAATCATATCCGTGTTCATAATATACGCATGATATGGCATCTCTCCCGCCATTGGCCAATGGCACAACTTTACTCCCGGAATACCCCTCTACATGTACTCTCTGACAGGTGAAAGTGAGAAACTGGAGCTCGGCTATGGATGTACATGTACATGTACTCCGTACGTAGAAAGGGATATGAACACCTTACAAGCATCCCGGAAGCCCGTGATCCGTACATTCTACATTCCATTAAAAAAAGACTAACGCATCCGGTTCACATGCGAAACTCGCCTAGATATGAGCTATGAGCAATGAATGAGCAAAGAACTTGAAAATGAAACGAGATATGAGAACGTGAAATTGTGTTGCCTCGATTTCCAACTCAGAATCACATGAATTGGGGGCAACAGGTTACATCAAGTTACCGTCTCTCTTTAACTTATCGAACATATCGACAGGGTATGGTTGGCCAATGGGAGAGGTAGTAAGCCAATTGGCGTGATTATGATGTTTTCTTGCACTTGCGCTTACACTTGCAGTTCCAATTTGCCTCCTTGGTGGGTGAACTTACACGTCAACATGTTTGCTAAGAGAGGGGCTTTTTGGGGGTATGCCACACATTTGCATTGGGGTTTTCAAGTTATGTATGGTTTTCGTTGGGGGTTGTCTAGACCACGCCACAGGACGGGATAAAGGCCGACTATTTTATGTTTTTCTTATGTCTGTTCTCTTTTATCATGTGATTCGGGGTTTATAGGGTTGGGTTAATGTCCTACTTAGATGTGTTGGGGTGCATTAGAATTATGCCAAGTATAAAATTAGAAGTCTGCGGTGGTTTCTACTACGGACTACGAT